TGCTTGTAGAGCATCCTGATGGAGTAATTTTTTATTTTTATTTTAGATTAAAATTGTCTTAAATTAAACAGAATAGAAAGTTTTGTCACGTGATTTTACGTTTACTATACGCCCATTGAGACTCTAGTTTGAAAAATTATCTTTTGCCGTTTGAACAATTATTACAGAGAGTAACTAAACAGAAAATTTGGCCTATTATGAATTCTTTGATAGCATCAGAACACAAGTTAATGGTATTGCTTTATCTGCCTTTAATTGTTATAACTGTGATCTTAACTATGCTAATACCAGTAAGGAAGAAATTGAAACCGTAAGATATCTAAGTAAAAATGAAAATATTGTTATAATGAAACCTGGTAAAGGAAAAACGATGATTATTCTTAACAAATGTGACTACAATCTAAAGCTTGAGAATATTTTGAATGATACTATTAAGTTTAAGAAATTACAAGTATATCCTAAAAAGAAACAGAGAAACTAAATTGGAGACGTAACTGTTAAAAGTGAAAAAGGATAACTTATTGACACAGGATAAATATTTTAAATAAAACCATCAGGTTATCATCCAGATATTTTATAGGTCATTGCAAAAGTCCACAAAGAAGGTTGTTCTATTAGACCTAGGCCCGGCATGGCTAGGTCATAGGGCGCTCCACTCGCAATCTGAGGGTCACGGGTTCGAATCCCCGTTCCACCAAACATGCTCGCCCTTTCAGCCGTGGGGGCGTTATAATGTTACGGTCAATCTCACTATTCGTTGGTAAAAGAGTATCCCAAGAGTTGGCGGTGGGTGGTGATGACTAGCTGCCTTCCCTCTACTCTTTCACTGCTAAATTAGGGACGTCTAGCGCAGATAGCCCACATGTTGCTTTGCGCGAAATTCATAACAAACAAACAAACTATTAGACCTTTCGCTTCGAATCTTGGCACATACAACCATGAACTTGTTGATTTGTTGGTAGAATATTTGGAACATTTTACGCACAATAAAATATATCAAAGCCTTTAGACACGCGCTGTATAAGGTCAGTCACTTTAATAGGATGCCACCGACAAACCAGTCTACTCCCCTAGCATGTACCTGATGTTACTGATACCAAGCTTTGCAAGTCCTTTAGAAGCGCAAGCATTCAACCATTGTTTATACTTTTATACGGATAAAAATAGAATAAGAGCAAGATAAACCAATGAAAACAGATCTGAATATTATTAAAGCAATTACATATTTCATAAGGTTTATATGTGCTGTAAACCATATATAAAAATTAAGATTGTTATAATAAAGATATTAGAACTTTCTTACTTTGACTTATAAGAACAAACTCAAGAAATTATTTTCTTCACTTTTCTATTTTTGTTCTTGATTTCTTTAAGGTTTTTGTTCATATGTCGAATATGAAAAAGCAACGAACACGAACAAACCTTCTTATTACTTTGATGGATATGTTGGATACTTTCTTCACAATGTTTCTATTATTTTTGGTCAAAAGCTGGGATTTATCCTGTAAAACAGGGTATAATATTTAGGAAGTCGTTTTCCATAGAATGCACAGTTTCTGTGTTGGATAAGAAAGTCCATCTTTCCACTACGTAGCACTCGAGGTATACTAATCAAAAGGATGTTGCTCCAGCTGACTGGTTAGTTCCGGATCATTTTTGGGCTTTTAAAACCAACATATCCTGTTACAAATTATAAACATTCCTCTTCAAGTTCAGTCTTTGTATTAACTTCCTGTTCCAGATATCCAGAAATATTTTCCATAGGAACCTGGATATCATATTCTTCGTTATAATCAACATTGTACTGAACAGGTACTTATTTAAACCCAATTAGTTCACAAATTTCTGCTGACATGAATTACTCTTTTATTTCAATAAGACGAATACATTTGGAAGATGCCTCTGAATGCTTTAATATAAGAAGTTGCTTTAGGCGATTTTTAACGTCTGTACGAAGAATAAGAGTTGTAATATTGCCCAAATCCACGAATTTCTGAAAAAAGTACTTTCCGCACAATCTTGATTAATTCTAAATGTTGTGATACAGTGTATTTCCCAGAAACTCAAATATGTTTATCAAGTTATAAACTAACATTAAGTCACCATCCTGAACAGGATGCTTGCATTTCTTCCGACAACATATATATTTTCCATCATCGGATATGCATCATTCGATATTTTATTTTGTATCGTCAGATGAATACACTTCTAGCCGGTTGCTTATTCCCATTTCTCACGTTGGAGCTCATTTCATTAAAAATCTTCAAGCAACTCGACAAACTATTTGAGTTTGTAATTCAGGAAAGAGACAGAGAAACTGTTTGAGTTTGTAATTCAAGAAAGAGATAGAGAAACTGTTTGAGTTTGTAATTCAAGAAAGAGATAGAGAAACTGTTTGAGTTTGTAAGTCAAGAAAGAAATAGAGAAACTGTTTGAGTTTGTAATTCAAGAAAAAGATAGAGAAACTATTTGAGTTTGTAATTCAGGAAAGAGATGAAATTATTTGAGTTTGTAATTCGGGAAAGAGACAGTGGATAGCTTTAGCATTGCGATATGAAAATACTTGCATTGTCATACTAACGTTCAGTCTATCTCTAGCCATAACTACAAGATGTGTTGTATTTTAAGTTCTCCTTGATTCTTCTCTTTTAAAACATCAAGAATCAGTTTTTTATAGTAACTGTGTCACAAGAAAGAACCGATCCAGAATTCAAAAAGTTGTTTCTCAGCAATTTTATCATATAAAGAATGTCAGGGAAAGCAAACACCAATACTCCTTTAAAAGAGACTTTACGGTTGGCTGGTAATGAGGCTTATCATAAAGAAAATAATGTAACAGCACTGCAAAAGTGTGTTTTTCAACAGTTGTTGCACTTTAACACTAAATAATTGAATATTATGCTCAATAATACTATTTATGACCAAACTGATGGTATAGCTATGTACTTAACAATAACCAAATAAACTCTAATTTTCAACTAATTGACTAAAAGAATGACAACTAGTCAATAGATCCTGCCGACAACTCT